ATAACTTAAACTTAAATAAGAAATTGTTAAGAAAAAAATTTAAATTTTCAAAAAAAAATAATAACAAACTATATTTGTAAAAAAAATATTTTTAAAATATTTAAAAAATTAAACAAAATTAAATAAATAAATAAAAAATACTTTTATGGGGCCCTTGCGCATTAAAAGGTGCATGGTGCGTAAGGGTAAGACCCGTCTTAGGAAAAAAAAATTAAAAAAATCACAACTTTCATTAATCGTAAAATGGTTTTCGTTGTATCTAACGGTGATAGCAGCGTAACCCAAAATCATGTTGTAAATTTTTTATAAAAAAAGGTTAAAAATGTAATTTGTTAATTTTATATGGCTATTTTGGTAAGGATCCCCCAAACTTCATCCACCAAATTTCTTTTTTAATTTTATTTATTTATATTTTATTTTATAAATAGAGTGATGAATCTTATTTGTGAAATTTTCTAAAATAGTTACTTTTTTCTACCAAATTTATTTTTTAGTCATTTTTTTAATTAAAATTTTCATTTTAATTGATGCTTATGCAAATGTTTTAAAGTTGATTTTCATATTAAAAAACTATAAAATATTTTTTTGTGTAAAAATTCAGAATTTTGTATGAGGATTGGTCTTCCAACTCTGCAAATACTTGTGTTTTTGGTAAACAGTAGTCCAATTTCTTGAAGTATAAAACTTCCTATCCGTTTTGGAACAGGGTAATGGAAGTGTGCACAGGGTTTCCTTTGGCCGGACGTAGATTGACCCTCAAGTGCAAAGGTGTAGTTGGAAGTAACTAATTAGGTTTAAAACAAAATATACGTAAGGATTTTTTTTTTCTTCCATAAATTAGGGGCTGTTTGGCAATTGCAGAATGATTAAGAGGCTCTCATGATATAATGCAAAATGAAATATAATTGTTTGGTAATTATGTACAATAAAATTAGGGCTCTTAATGGTTAAGGGAGATCCAGGATACAAAATCATTCAGAAGGTTTTAGAATTATTAAGAGGCAGATTTTTTTTTTGCCAAACAAGATTTATCTCTTAACGATTCAGAAGTTGCCTTTTAATAGAACTATTAAGAGGTAAACAAACAACCCCTTAGTCTTTATGCTACTGCATAAAGCATTTGTGTAAAAACTGACTATTTTAAGAAGATATCTGAAAAATGGCTAAAAAGTGAATTTGGGCGATGAAATTGGCTATTCCGATCAACTTTCCATTTTATTTGCTACATTTGGTCATTTGGGTTGGGAAGATCTATTCGTCCAATCATATACAAGTGTTTTTTACGGTTTAATGATTAAGTCAAATGGCTATATAAAATAAGCCAGTACCTTTACTTGTATCCATTAAGCCATCTCAAACAAATTAATATAAAAAATACCCTGTAAATAATTCAGTCTTCTTTCTTTACCTACCTCAAACCGATCAGTCTCTTGTCTCTCAAACAGATAAACTTATCCTTTAACACATATAGTTTTTTAATGGGAAAAAAATAACACAAAAGCTTTAGAATTTCATAAGAAAACATATCAATTTCAAACAACTATAATTTTTTTAACAGAAATAAGTTATGGATCCCATTGTATCATTCACTACAACGTATCTAATGCGCTTGTGTCCTATATCGGTCCCCCTTTCAGTCTTTTTCTTGTATCACAAATCAACCTAAGCGAAAAAGCATTTTAGTTATCTTATCTTGTTAAAGGATAATAAAGGGATAACTGATTAAGATTGTAATCTGTCAAGTATTGTGATTTTAAGAAAGTACAGTGTGTTCAAGCTGGACCAAAGATGGAAAAACGGGAAAAAGGAACTAATTGACCATTAACTTTTGAATATAAAGATATGGTTTTGTGTGACTCTCCTTTAAAGGAAATTGGAAATTGTCGTATGTAAATACCGACAAGAAAAAGAGAAAGAAAAGGAAAATATGCATTCATATCGCGTTTATTCTAAATGACACATTCAGTTATAACTAATGTCATATCCGTCTGTTGGTTGGGTACACGACATGACTTTAAACAGATTTTAAACATCCTCAAAACAGACCTCAAACAAAGCGACAATTTATCAATATAAACAAATCGATAATATGAGAAATGTAAACATAAATTTATGTGACAGAGGTTTTATCCTAACTCGATTGGCACCCAAAGTAATATTCCTACTATCTTACAATGAACCCCTATTGAATCCCTTTAGTCGGAGACGAAAGAACTGATCAAAATCAGTTTCTAAACGTCCCTGAAACAGACCTCAAACAGCTCTGAAAATGCTCTGAAACAGGGCCCAATCAACACCTATGGACCAGCACTCGATGACAACACTATATAGTTGTTGTTTTAGGGACAAATACTTGATAAACAGCCCACATAGCTTGTTGAAAGTTAACTAAAATGTTACCTTTTATCAACATTGCCTTCTCCACGAGGAGTTGGAGTGATTCCTCCATAAACAAATCAGTACCCATGTTGTTCTTCTTTAGGTTCATCGATCACATAAAACAAACATGTACTTTCACATACCCAAATCAGCTATTAGATGGAAGGGAATCAATCGGGAAATCAGTCTCATAAATGTTAGGCATGATTATTGTTTATATATACAGCTACGAATCCTAAAGATACAAACATATGCAACAACGTGTGTACTTTTTTAGATTAACCCATAATCCACATAAAATACCTAGAGGAAACCCCCAATACATACTGCAAATTCTAGGACTGATTGGTTTGAGTTTGGCTCCAAAGGTCAAAAGTACCGGGAGGTCCCATGTTCAAATCCAATGAGAAATAAAAATCCCCTTGTGGCCACGGAGCTTCAAATGCAGTGACTCCAGGCTATCTGCAAAACAGGTAGTCGCCCTGGGATTAGTCGGCTCGCATAACGGGTTGGATATCCAGATTAATCAAAAAAAAAATTTAGGACCTTAAGATAAAATCCTGTCTAATTCTTCAACTAAACACATATGGATTACTTATTTATGCACTTGAGCAAAAAATTTGTCTTAACCCAAATTTCTGTTATTGAAAAAACAGTGTCTTTAGTAAAATTAAAGCCAACTGTACATGGACAAAACCTGGGTAATCATGACCCAAATTACTTTTAATTGTCATGTTAAATCGTGCAGGTTGGCAAACTTCAAAAATTGTAAATTATATTCATCAAGACTTATAACTTTTAAAAATTCAACAATAACCGTTACCGATTTCTGTAATATAGTATAGATAAAGGGTGTAAATGAAAATTTAAGATATTAAAAATAAGTTCTAAAAATAAATCAGTATATATTTATATTATTTAATAATATAATTAAGCTTATTTTTAAGGTATTGATGAGACGAATATAATGATATAATTTATATTATGTGATCAATATGATATAAAATTATTATAAAGAATATTATACAACTTTAAATTTGAAAGTCTTATATTCAATCAAGAAAGAAAGGTTGTAAAAGATCGGATCTTGGAGGTAGATCATGGAATCAAGATCAATTACAATCATCCTAAACGGAACCAAACTGAACAAACCCAGTATATATCTTGAAGATAGGATCTAAAAGATAAGATACACACAACAAAATGACCGGTAACAAACACAACTTTGTGCAACAAATAGAACAATAAGACTTTATTCCCAAAATCGAATATTTACATTCAAGAAACAAACAAAAGGATATATTAGAAGTAGACCGTAGAATCAAGATCCACTAGGATTCTCTCTAATGGAACCAAATTAAACAAACCCTTCATATATCTCGAGGATAGGATCTGAAAGATAAGACACACCGACTGTTCCTTCCAAACAAATCCAGTATATCTTTCAGAGACGGGATTTAAGGGATAAGATATCCGCTAATAATGATTATCCCATTGGGTCCAATTGGCTTCACTACCCCTACGTGGAATAGAATTAACCCTAGTGTAGGTATCCACTTTGAAATTAGCCCCACACATAACTCCTTCACTATCCACCCTTGGCATTGCCCTAATCTTGTTCATTGGATGCTCAAAGCTCATCAAACCACCTTCACTATGAAACATACAACCTGCAAATTTTGTCCCAAAAACCTCAAATCCATGGCCAAATCTTCACAAAAATCAAAGCTTTTTCAAATGGGTATTCACCAATATGAACATACCTTTAGGAAATGGTGCAAAAGATTTTGCACAACCTGCTTTGATAACCTCTAAATCATCAGAAATAACAACAGACCCATCTGCAGCTATGCCCCAATAAAGCTTCACACCACCATCTGAGCCCTGCAAATTCATTGAGACATTTTGTCGAACAGTTGGCAGGCAAAGAAAAATGAATCTTTTTGAACTGTAAAGATGAAGGTTTAATTAATCACCAGCGCAGTGAAAACGGTGCCGGATTTGCTATCGTAGACAACAAATGCAAAGCTGCCTTCAAGATCCTTGATCACCTGATCGGCCGGGTACGGACCACGGTCTCGGAGCGTCCGATAAGCTTCGATCACGAACATGGCTTCATCGGTGTTCTTTGATAGTCCGTATTGTTTGATTTGGGCGCATAAGTTGTTCAAACTCCCCATGAATACACAGTATATATCATCAAAAGCAGTGAACATCCTGCAAATCCCATAAAAATATTTGAACAAAAGAACAATTTACCAATTTACAGTCAGAAAACAACAAATCGGAAGGATTAGAATCACACGATACCTTTGATGAACGGAGTAAGGGCGGTCGGGTTTAACATAAGCAAGAACAGCAGCATCACCAAAGGTCATAGAGAAGGTGTTTGTGGGATGAACAGATAGGAACTCTTCGAGGGTTTCTTCTGGGAGTTTTGGTTTATTGGAATGGTTACTCGCCGGACTTTTCAGTTCTTCCGGCGGGTTTGCAAACGCCTTGTGGAATATAGCCAACATTTTTTTTTCCAAAGAATTTTTCGAGCTGAAAAACTGAAAAATGGAACGATAATGGAGGAATTGAAGACAGTTGCAGGGTGGCTATAAATAGGGAGGAAAGGTGATCGATGTTAATGGCGGCGACGGAGCGTGGAACTACGTGGTGATGAATAAGTTGATAACGATAACGATTGAGGGATAAGTTTTAGCTTTCTCGTAACCCCATGAACATGGAATATAAATTACAAATTTGGTCCCTGTGGTTTCTTGAAAATAACAATTTAAGTTAACATTAGACAGAACATAACAGGACAAAACAAGATTTCTTGTCTCATTTTTGGCATGAGTTTGAGTATAGCAGACAGGAACAAAGTGGAACAGGTCTGTTCCACCCTTACCCCATGAAAGAAGGTGGAACAGACTTATATTTTACCAATATTAACTTAAAATAAAACTTAATTCTCTTTTAAAATATCAAATAGATCTCTTTTCTACATTTCATTTATTTTTAAATTTTATTTATTGTATTTTATGTTTTTTAAACTTTCATTTTATTGTCCTAAAAACATTAGTTTTATACGGTTTCTATATTTTTATTAAACTTATGTAATTTATTATATATTAATACAAAAAAATAATGTAGAAAATAGATAAAAATAAAAATTGGAAACTATGTAAGGTTTTTATTTGGTGTCATTTTAATTGTTTTGACGAAAACTTTCAAATGATATATTTTGTTATAAAAATAATTATTTTATTATAATTTAATAAATTACATAAATTAATTAAAATAAACAACTCTTAGGGGTAAATTAGTCATTTTACACGTTCTGTTCTGTTCAATTTTATCTTACCAAATGTTGAATAATTGTTCTATCTTGTCTTGATTTGCCCTATCATGTCCTATCTGGACAGTAATGAGGAAGGAGTGAGATTATACAACCCATTTATCTAATAATCATTAAAATTTCTCTTAAATGAAAAACTGATATATATATATATATATATATATATATATATATATATATTTTTTTTTTCTATTACTGATTCAAAACTCAGAGGAACCAAAATCATCAAATGAATAAAATGACAAATATGCTATTTATTCAATGTCTTTTTCTTTTAACGATTGTTAGAAAGGAACTAAATTGAATATTTTTATAAGTTATGATGAACATGTTATAATTTTAAAATTACAGGGGTGTAAAGTGTTATTTTTTAAAAACCATGGAGACCAAGGTCATAGTTTACTCTTGATTAAATTAAGATTAAAATAAAAAATAATTGTTAAATAAATAAATTTAAGTTATATATTTAAAAGTAAATTGAAAATAAAAGACTTGAATAAAGGGTCCTTTATTTACCTTTTAATAGTCTATTAAGAAGCAATTTTTAAATCATTAATATATGAATCTTGTTAGAAAAAAAAATTATTTTAATGGTTCTAAAATCCTTTGAATAATTTTATATCATGGACATTCCTTAACCATTCAACGTTCTAATTTCATTGTAAACAATTACCTAATAATTGTATTTCATTTTGCACTATATCATGAGAGTCACTTAATCATTCTGCATCAAACCATTCAACAACTGTCAAACAGCCCCTAAATTTTGTTATTTTATATATATTCAAATAAAAAAAAATCTTATTTTAATTTGTATAAAAAAATGTCTAAATTACTACTTTATTTTGGTCCAAAATAAATGTTTATTTTTTATTTTATTTTTAATTATGAGATGAATAAATTTTCTTTCTACATAATTAAATATAAACTTATAATTTTAACTAATTCAGTAATGTAATAATTATACTTTTCTAAAACTGTATCCCTTTTATAATGCAGACATTTATTTTGAACACAAAAAATTATCAATATATCTATACTACATTAATAAGCATTTGGACAAAAGTCTTAATTGCAAGTCTTAAAATATAAAGTACTATCAATTTATGCAAGAGATTCAAAAATGTCTTAAGTACAAACTATTATGCATAATGTACAAATGCTTAAAACATACCATTTGTTTAGTCAAAATTTTCAGATTTAAGTAAACCATATTTACATGGAAAAAAATATATGTTTGTTCTTCCCAAAGTTGTTTGACACTTTATTTGTTTCTTATTTGAACCCAAATTCAAATTCAAATTCAAAGTTCTTCTTTCTCTTGAAGTAAACTAAAGTTTGAAGCAACAATATCATAAAGGGTTTCAGATCATGCATGTACCCCACCCCAACCCTTCAATTTTATATGCGTTTAGAAACTCAACATATGTGCAATTATTTTTTCAATCGATCTTGTTAATACACCATATTAATCTTCAACTTTATATATTAGCTGACTTGTAAAATAACCACACAAACTCATATTCAAGACTAAATTAATATTTCAGAATTGTGATTCACTAGTGCTGCATCGTGTAGGTACACCACTAGTGTGTGTATATATATATCAAATTAAAATTATAGAATTCTTTTTAAACTAATTTATAAGTAATTATATTAAATTTTAATCTTTAATTTTAATTATATAAAAAAAAATCCAGAAGAGGAAATTGGAATCAAAAAAATGGTTCCGCGGTTTTCGGAGTATACCAGATAAGGTTCGGTATGACTAGATTGTGACGTCCACATCTTATCCAAAACTGACTTCTTTTTTTTAACAACGCCGTAGGTTTTCTTATATTAACCTGTGGGCTTTCGCCACGTTGTATTCACACTGGCACGCACTTCAAGATTACCTCATCAGCCCAATAACCCAAGATAAAAAAGCCCATTAGCCTTTACATCAACCAATTAAAACCCAAATCAAATGGGCTCATTTGGTGTTAAAAGCCCACTTGAATAATACTCCCCTTTTGGTATTATGGATGTTCGGATTTTAAATCTTAGATGTCGTTTACCAAATGTTTATCCGGGTAAGTGCTTACCAACTCATTTTACTTTAAAGGATGAATATAGCTAGGACTAAAAATCCTACCCGGTAAAAGTGAAGGTAAAAATCGAGAATTTTTCCCAGTAAGTAAGGACGAAGACTCTTACCATGGTTAGCGCTTATCGGGATAAATTATTACATACAATGCGCTTTAGTGAATAAAATCTTATCCGATAAATAAATGATAGTGTTGAATTTGACCGATAAATGATTACCAGGTAAGTGATTAGGTAAACGGCCCCTTGGTAAATTATGAGTTTCGTCCCTTGGGTTTGCTAATAAATGCGATTTTTGTTCTTGTGGTTTAGAAAATGTAATGGTTTTAAAATTTATGTTTAAACAAAATATGAATTATGAATACCAGTTACGGTATTAGTTAAAAGGAGAATGTGGTTGGAGGTCGTGATGGTGGTTTTATTCGGTTACAGGGTTTTGGAGATTGCAATACCCGAGCTCTAGTCAGCGTTCACATTGTTATTTCTGCAATGGCTCTTCATTCAAAGATAGTGCTGGAGAGTATGCAAACTTATAGGATTGCACACAAATAATACGTTTGCTTCCATTTGTAGAAACCCTAATTGAATCAAGTTGATAATGGATATAATTATTCTTGGAGGATAATTATGAAAATATGTGTTGAAATGTAATTATGATAATTACAGATTGTTATCTGTAAATATGTATAATTATATTAAAGTTTGAGATAATTATATTTATGTTACAGATAATTACTAAACCGTATCTGAGTTATATTCCATCTATAGTTCTTATTAGTTAAATCAAATTCCAACTGTTTTAATTTTTTAAAATTCTAGCCTCTCAGAAAAATACACATATAAATCTAGGGTTCTTGAGCTAGCACCCAATGTGAGTTATCAGCGTGTTCATGTGTGAATCATCTGTAGAGGAAACCTACTTTAGTTTATACATGCTCAGATGATATCTACCCCCAATCTATAAAGGTACAATTCTAAATACCATATAGTGTGTGGTTTTAATTAAGTGTCTCATTGGATCCGCTAAGAGTTTTATATTAAAAAAAGCTTTCTGATTTTATTTATAACCAAAGTATTAATTTTCTGTTGCATTTGCGGTTACGACATGTATTAAAACCCAACAACACCTTTAACCAAAAATAGACAGTAATGAAATTTTTCATCCCGTAATAAAAGGGTAAAATTGGAATATGTGCATTTGTTTTTCTATATTCAATCCTCGTTGACCGTATTTTTTCAAAGTCAAAAATATACTCTGTTATACAACATTTTTTTCTCTCTTCTCTTACTCTCTATTTACTACATATTTGTTTTCATATTTACGTTTATCATAAATGGTACTCGCGCAATACAGCGAAATACATCTTGATTTTATTTTCTTTTATTATTTATCTTGGTCAATGTTATAATATGGTCTTATTTGATTTTGAAAAACGATGATGTTTTTATTTTGGAATAAAATATAAATTTGAAGATATCATAAAAATTTGACAACAATATATTGATATTAGTATCAAATTAACTATTTAAAATTCATATTTTTTGTGTAATTTTTTAATTCAATTTTTTTATTATAATTTTAATTTAGGTTTAATAACGAAATAATTTATATTTAGTTTAATAATATAATTTTTTTATAAAGATAAAAATTAATTATTTTGTTAAAATCCGATAATTATTCTAATTATATTTTAGATTTTTTATATTTTTATATGATATGTTTATCCTCAATTTGTTTACGTTTATCTGCAGTTAGTTACATGAATTCAAACATGGAGCTTTAATAAGTTGTATTTATGCATAATTTACTTGTAATCTTGAATTTTAAGTAATATGCATCAATATACAGTACTTTATGCATAAAAAATTGTTTTGAAGAGTTTTTGTCAAATGCTTTATAATGTAGTATAGATATGGGTTGAAAGTTGTTAAAATCTCGACTCGCAGACATATACCAGACTTCCCCCATCCGCCAAGGGCCTCGATTAATAGTTGTGAGCTACAACGCGCAAACTAGTAACAGATATCCATTGTGGTTTTAAATTGATAAGGTAATAAAGTTGTTATGCAGTATATTATTTCAATCTTAGGACGTTTTAGACATACTGTTCACTTTTATGGTACCACAAAGAGTCGACGGTCTAGGATATGAGTACACTAATAATTCTTGCAGGACCAATAGCAATGTTTCATACAGATGTCATATATAAAAGGACGGTACACGACTTTATACATGCAACATGTAAGTCATA